CTCCTTCATGGTCTTACCGGTGGAGGTGACGCCGGAACCGTCGATGATGCCCTCCTTGAGAAGGAACTTGAGAAGGGCGGGGGTACCGCCGATCTTGCAGAGGTCCTCCATGACCCACTTGCCGGAAGGCTTGAGATCGGCAAGGAAGGGAGTGCGGTCGGAAACGGCCTGGAAGTCGTCGATGGTGAGCTTGATGCCAACGGAGTCGGCGATGGCGATCAAGTGGAGGACGGCGTTGGTGGAACCACCGAGAATGTTGACGACGATCATGGCGTTCTCGAAGGCCTGGCGGGTAAGGATATCGGTGGGGCGGATGTCCTCGCGGAGGAGGTTCTTAATGGCCTCACCAATGCTCAAGCACTCGTTCTTCTTCTCGGGAGACTCGGCAGGGAAAGAGGAGGAACCGGGAAGGGTCATGCCGAGGGTCTCGATGGCGGTGGCCATGGTGTTGGCAGTGTACATACCACCGCAGGCGCCACCACCAGGGCAGGCGTTGCGGACGATGTCGAAGCGCTGCTTCTCGTCGATCTCGCCGGCGATGTACTGGCCGTAGGCCTGGAAGGCGGAGACGATGTCGATGTTCTCGCCCTTCATGTTGCAGCCGGGCTTGATGGTGCCACCGTAGACCATGATGGAGGGGCGGTTGACACGGCCCATGGCGATGAGGACACCGGGCATGTTCTTGTCGCAACCGGGGAGGGAGATGTTGGCGTCGTACCACTGGCCGTTCATGACGGTCTCGATGGAGTCGGCAATAATCTCACGGGACTGCAAGCTGTAGCGCATACCGGTGGTACCCATGGAGATACCGTCCGAGACACCGATGGTGTTGAAGCGCATGGGGACGAGGCCAACCTTGGCGACGGACTCCTTGACGAGGCCGGAGAGGTCGAGAAGGTGCATGTTGCAAGGGTTGCCGTCATACCAGACAGACGAGATACCGACCTGGGCCTTGTTCATGTCGTCCTCGTTGAGGCCGGTGGCGTAGAGCATGGCCTGGGAAGCACCCTGGGACTTGGGCTGGGTGATGGTGGCAGACACCTTGTTGAGCTGCTTCTCCTGGGCATTGTAGACACGGGGAGTGGTGGAGAGGGAGCGGCTGGATCGGGAGAGACGATGCTAGTTTGGGATGTTCTGTTCGAATAGCTTCACTTTTTTTTGGGTTGGACATCAAGGTGTATGTGTCACGGTCACTGGGCGCAAAAACTCACAGGGAGAGACGGGCAGAAGCCAGAGCTCTGGGGGCCTGAGCCCGCAGGAGGGAGGGAGCGAGCATGATGTGAGGAAGGGGAGAAGCTGCCGTGCAAGGAGTCGCTGGCAGAAGGAAGGAAGGGGTGGAAAGGGGGAAGAAGAATCACGACGACAAAAGCAAGAAGATCAAGAGGAGGAAGACTTGGGACGAAGCTACGGAAGCCGGGCTAAAAGAGGCGACTCGTTTCTTTTCCGGGCGGCCTGGGCGAAGTCGGCGTCGCCAGGCGGGACACAAAATTCCTCTGACGCTCGCGACGAGTCACTGGCCACAGGGGTTTGCCGCCAAGTCCCACGGCCACCCCGCAAAAAGCTCCCAAAGCTCCCCATGTCGACCAGGGGGTGGTGAGATATACGAGCTCTGTGATTGGTCGATAGCTTCAATAGTTATTGAACACTTTAGCCCGAGTGCCGTGACGTGTCTGGACAAAACTTTCAAAGCTTGAGACGAACCACAAGAAAAAAGTGGAAAAGTAAACATTGGAAGAGGATTCTGATAGCGGGCCTCTATCGTCGTGACAATATCGTTTTTCAATGGCTTTCAATTGCTTATTTAGAAATGTCGGATTCTGGCTTACCGTCCACCTTACTCAGACAGGTTCCACCACATGCGCCATGGAGACTCGGGGCCCCACATTCTTAAATGTCAAGCTTCCGTCATCGGAACTGAACATGGGCTGGGCTGTCCCCGGAAAATGCCATGCCTGTGCCATGCACCATTTGATCTGTCATTCTTCGGCCGGTATTCGACCGTCGACACCGATTTGACATCCGGCCATGGTCAAAGTCTTCCAATGCCGTTATTTCTAGGCCAGCCGAGGTGCATCATATATCGTCCACCTTAGGCATCTCGATATGATGCTCAGGCTCACGGCTGCGGCGACGGCGTCTCTCCATCCTTGGTCTTCTTTTCCACCTCATCCTTCACCCTCCTATCGAGAATCTGATCGACAACGCCCAGCTCCACCGCCTCCTCCGCCGTCAGGTACTTGTCTCTCTCCATCATGTCGCTAATGGCCGCCAGGTCGTACTTTTCGAACCCAAAGGACTTGTTGATGTGCGACTGTACGATCTTGTTGATTTGCTCTCTTATCCTCTGGATCTGGTTCGCATATATCAAGATATCTGACGCCTGACCGCGCGTGCCGCCGAGAGGCTGGTGGACCATGACCGTGCTGTGAGGCAGCGCGTACCGCTTGCGGCTTTCCTCGATTTCCGCGCC